ATGGACAAGAGGAGTTCACCTTCCGTAAGGTCACCTCTGAAGTCACAGGAATGAGGAAACACCAAAAGACTACAGAGAAGACAACTCTCAAGACAATCCTGAGGCTGATGAGGAGCTCAGCGCTACCATGTGGCCGGGTGGTTTGCCAGAGGTAGCCCCTCCGGAGAAACTTCCTTCAAGAACCTCAAAGGCAAAAGAACAAACATGTTTCCCCAGACAAGTCCATTCCAGCAGGCAGAGGAAAAGCTTGCAGCAAATAATTTGGGAAGAAATGAAAGCTCGTGCTGTGCATAATGAAGAAAAATCCATGCAAGCATCGATAACTGCCACAGTGTTCCCAGCAGTGAAGAGAGTGGTATTCCACCTGTCAGCAAGGCAAGGATTGCCTTTTCTTGCTTGAGGAGCTCTAGGTACTGCAGTCTGGAGCCTAGAGAAGATTTAGAACTGCATAAACCTACTTTTTAAGGACTTCCAGTGACAGAGATGTAGCTCACATACGTAGGGTTACTAGCCTCACTAAGCATACCTATCTGTTTTGTGTTGAACATGCAAAAAGACTTTCAAGTGAGTGGACTTGGCTGAGATTCGTGACATTTTTCTGTATTCCAAACTTTCTTTTGTGCTTCTGTGGAATAATTGGTAAAAGTTCTTGGCTTGGGTAAAGTGGACCTCAAAGACAAAAATCTACCACCCTGCAAAATCCTGATCATATGACGACTTCTTCGCTGAATCTCAACAGGCCTAGGGATTTCACCTCCCCACACACATCAGAAAGCCCAGCCTGCAGAACTAGGGGACATTTCAGGAAAGCAAGTTGCATGGAGAAACTAAGAGTTTCTGCAGCTTACCGCTGGGATACCTTGGCAGGATCGGAGAGAGAGCAGGGCTAGAACAGCCGGAAACATTGGTGTTCAGGGTTGGTAAGCATGGAGGGCACTGCATGAGAGAAACATACGCAGTTTCTGCCATCTCCAGTGAGAGCTGGAGGCTGCGTTAGTATTCACCCAGTGGATAACCAGAACTTAGCCAGACGAATCTTTACTTGTAACAAGAGACAAGCCAGCTCAACACTGTTAAGCCACACATGCAGTCCCCACTGGTGTTTGTAGGTGAACACAAATCTTTACCAAGGGCTGCTTTCTGTAATTTTGAACTTTCCGTCAACGCTCACTAATAAAAGCAGTTGTGAAGGCCGAGCCACTAGCCATGTCTTTCATTCAGTAGCCTGGTTTTCTAAGGAAAGAAGATTGCCGTGATCATACTGTCTGTTTTCCTGACTTGGTATCCCTTATCCCAACCGCATGGGGCCCCCAGAAACTTTTATAGCCTTTTCATAACATGGGTGGCTACAACAGCACTGATGAACAGTCTTACTCTGAGATTTAGAGCCATTAGTAATTTGTTGCTAGTAGTAATTAAACATGCCCTGCCATCCACTCAAACACCTCTCAGCTACAGCCACATGCACAACAGCAGAGTGCTGACGTGTTGGAGATATCCCAGGCACAGGCTGTGATGTTCTCACCTGTTACTGCAGCCAGAGGCTCTGCCATGTTCTGGCAGCTTGTGGCAATGGTAGAGTGGAGCTAGCAGAATGAAAGTTCCTCTTTTAAATACTTCCTGAGTCACTACACAGCCTTTCCACAACCCATGTTGTTGCCTGATGGCGAGCACAGCAGGGACAAAGTGAAAGAGGGCACCTGCTGCCTCAAATGAAAGAGTAATTTTAAAACATTTTGGAAAATGAAACACTGATGATTACTTCCTTTGGTCTTCTCCATTAATCGTATCAAGGAACTGGTGGAGGTACTTAAGTTTTCTGAGCATGTCAATAAGCCACCATATATGTACAAACTAAAATGAGAAGAAAGTCAAGCACGTATAATAACGAGATAAGCAAACATTACTGCAATTCAGCGGCCACTAACCTGTTCTGGGAGCCTCTCCAGCCTAGAGACAAATAAACAGAACTGAAGAATAAAAAAATAACATAACAGGAGATGACTGCTTCTTGAGTACCTCAGTAACACAAAGCCAACATGGATCTGAATTCCAAAAATACAAACTCTTAGCTGGGAGCCATGAGAGCAAGGTAACAGTACTGTGTTCGTCCCTGCACTGTGCTGAGACTGGGATGAACTCATCACAGAGCACAGGCTCAGTGGTGGTGGACCAATTCACCTAGGGCCTCTGAAAGCACAACTGTTCCCTGTTAAACTTTGTAAACATTTTAGGGATATAAACCTCAAACCACATACAAAAAAAAAAAATACGAAGCACATTCTCCTGAAATATTCTCCTGAAATTAAGAGGTTAATTAACAGTTTACAGTTACAAAAATACTGAGAAGAGAGGTTGCTACTTACCTCTTTCCTCTCACTCTACCTTTCTCTAAAAACAGTTTGTCTTGTAACTAATATTCCAGCATCAGGTGAACCTCATATTCAGTCTGTCTGTCTCACCTGAGGACTGTTAGCTCTTTGTTAGAGAAATAACCCACAGCTGCTGATGCCCATGTGCAGAGTTGGTGCCCTCTCATTCCACCTTTTAAAAGGGAACAAAAAGTCCTGGCAATAAAATGAAAGGTTAAGAGGTTGTGCTAGTGGGTGCTCATAAGCTGCTCTTTTGTTTTTGTGGATAAAAGTTGGTAGCTAAAATTATCCCATGGTGCTATGATCTAAAACAGCAAGAGAAAGCAAATGTAAAACTAAATACAAGGAATATATGACAATAGCAATAATTTAGTATTTGAATAAGAAAAGCACCTAAACCAAACATGCTATGCCCGAGATGAACAGTAAATTAGACTTTCTAAATGTCTTCATGTTTAATAATCTAAAATGCTGTTCAATTACAGAGATAAAGCTATCATCAATATATATTTATTTCCACAGTGTCCCTTTGTTGTTGTCCTTGTTGGTTGGTCACCTTGAACAGAGAGGGGTGGGGAGAAATGCTTTTGAAGTTTGGAATATATTCTGGGTGTGATTTACAACAGAGGTTTCAAGCCTCCTTGATGTGACCCCTACTGCCATAAACAGATGGACAAATATAAAAGTAGATAAACAAACATCCATTTTTTTTTATGACACTGACAGCTCACCCCAAGTGTTGTTCCCAGTACTTATAGCACATATTCATGTCCCCAAGGAGGCTGAATGTAGCTTTCTTGTCCAGGTTACTATACAGCCAGTTAAGCATTTTACTTGGCAAAATACTGTGAGAGGGTTTTCCATGTGAAACGTGCCCTCTGGAGCCCTGGTTCTCTCCTAGATGTATACTTGGTGCTTCATCTGGAGCTCAGGTGCAGAGCGGAAGCACGAGGGTGGTGGCTGGCTGGCTTTTGTCACATCAGGAGCTAGGTGTTTCTGACTGCAGTTTCCCTGGCCTAGACAAAAGCTCTGGGAAAGCCTCTTCTCACTTTCCTCCAGAGAAGGACCTGAAAACAGATTTTAAAATTCACTGCACATAACGTGCTGCTGGCTATTGGCAGGCACCCTGGGAACTCCAGACAAATGGAGCTTGCACTGCTGGTTTAGGCTGCAATGACCATGACTGCAGGGGAATAGAGAGTGCAACAGTACATTGTGTAACATTGTTTCTGGGCAGCAGGATGGAGAACAGGATGGAAATCTTATTAAACATCCCTGGGCAAGCCAGGGTAATCAAGATCGGTGCTGGATTGGATACCAGGAGCTGCAGAATTGCTCAAAATGCAGTATTGGCTGTGAGTAGCCAAGGCTAATAAGGAACATGACTTTCATTCAGCACAGAACTTGCAGCAATCTGCTCAGAGGATGAAAACGAGAGGCGTGTTGTAAAGGTTTTGTTGCCCAAACATGCATCGCTTCAGGAGGCAGTGGAGTGAGGCCATCCTGCGAGTTATATTTCCATCCAACACACCTCTCCAAAGCCTCCTGCCTCACTAACAGTGTGCACATGTAACAAACCATTAAGCGCTGTCTGTGCAGGCATGATGTACATAATAGCCAAGACCTTCAGCCCTGAAAGCCCACACTTCTGTATACCTGAGCTAAAGAAACAGCTGGTTGGACTTAGCATGCTATTGCAACCAATGAAAGGAAACAACCACCCATCTTAAGGGCTTACAGTTCTTCCTGGGTGGAGGGTGGAAGTCATGCCTTGGTAGTAGCTGTTGAGAACAGCATTTATAAAATGGCAAACTCCTTTCAACACTGTGCCTCATCCATTTTCATCCTCGTTTGTGTAGCCAAGATGAGTTGCAAGGGAGAGAGGGGGCCTGGATTTCCCCTTTAATTCTCTCTTACATGTTCTGCCTGGAAATCCTAGTGAGGTAATTGAGTGGAAGAGTTGGTGTACCTGTCCTTTTCTCCTCCTCTGCTTTCTTGTTAGCTGTCAGAATGAGCATAAATACATCCAAGGACCAGATTCTTGTCAAGAGCCAGCCTGGAGAGGCCAGTGAGCCATCTGTGCCCATTTTTAATGCCACTGAAATAGTGCACACAAAGGAAGGCACCATGGTGGCCCATGTGTGGGAAGGGTCATCCATGCTTTCCTGATGTGGCCCTAGGTTTCCCCCTCCACCTCCAAAAAGGGAGGAGAAGGAAACATGTTGACATTCTTTGGGTTCACCACTTATTTTTTACCTTCTTGGCTTGGCTCAAAAATAGGCTGAGGAAGGGTAGCTTAGGAGCCATGTTTTAGGTCTGTGAGTGCAGGAGGAAAAGCTGAAGGAAATCCTGATCTTCCCAACAGATTCTCTCTCCTCCTCATGCTCAGGAGGGCCATTCCGCCAAAGACAGCCAGAAAATGTCAGCTAGGAGAGAGATTCCCCAGGGAATCTGGGGAAAAAAGGGAAACCAGGAACACTGCCTAGAAGTAGGGGAACTGGGAGGGGTCTGTGCCAAAAAGCACCAATATGGTCAACAGTCATCTCTGCATCTACTCAGTAGCTGCCTCTAAGCACTAGCCCCATCCTCTTTTTGACCCCAAAGAAAAGCCATGGTAACACATTCCTTTTCTAGGTTCTTTGTTATTATTTTCAAGAGCAGGACAGTCATTCAAGCTCTGAAATTTGAGTACTGAAAACTGGTGGTTGTAGAACGGCAGCACCTTTCATTTGTCCTTCACACGAGTTAGAAACCTGATAATTACAAAAGGGATGGGGCTAAGTGGAACTTGTTGCTGGTCTAAGAGATGAGAAGGTTGAGTTCTGGCTCTGCTTCCTTCACTGGGTGTGGGCACGAGATTTGTCATAGGGGAACGGCAAACCCAGCCAAAATAGAGAGGAGGCTGCTGGGCTCACATGGGTGGGGGAAGAGATAAAAAGATAAAACAGTTCCAGAGAAGGAAAATCACAGTATGGTGCCCCCCTGCCCGTACGCATGCTTTCATGCCCGAGAGAGCCAGCAGTTCTCTGTGGATGAAGGAGCATGGGGGACCTGGGAGGAGAATCCAGTTTAGTCGCCACATTCCTCAGTTCAGCGTTGGGGTTCACAGTCATCTTGCCGAGCAACTGTAGCAGCAGCCCTCGGAAAAGGGACTGAAGCTTCACCCCCTCAGCTGAAAGGGTCTTCTCTCCCCTGTGTTGTCCGTTGAAGAAGAGAAGATAGAAATCAAGGTGTGTGAAAAGGTGTGAGAACAAACAAGAGAAGGGGGCTGTTATTCGAGGGTGTCCTGGGCAGAGTTTAGACCCGGGTATGTCTACAGGTTCGAGATGTGCCTGAGGCTGAGGGGGCTGCAGAGGTGGAGGGGGACTCATCATCCGTTGTGTCCCCCTGCTCCTCCTTGTGGAGGCCGAGGCTGATGTGGCTCTGCAGGGCTGCTGGGGTCAGCCACTCCTTAGGGAGGCAGCTCTGGAGGAAGGGGATGCACGAGCTGAAGTAGGCCAGGCGGTTCACCCAGCGGGGGATCTCTTTCCCACATAGGATCTGTGAAGCAAACCAAAAAGCAGCGTGGTTAATAGCATCAAGACACGTGTGTGGCGGCACCACCACCTCAGCAGGGTGAATTCCCTAATGTTCAGAAGAAAGATGTTTGAAATGTAGGGAGCATCTTCTGCAGTCAGAAACAGCTATAAATGAGACTGCACGACTGCTCAACGCGCACAGAGAGCCCTGCCAGCCATAGGCCTTGTTGTCATCATAGCAGAGACCGGGGAAAACAGTCTGTGGCCCTCAATGGCTTTGGCCACTGTTTTCCAGGCAATCCACGGATCAAAGGATAGGCCTGCTGGTGCTTCTCAACCAGGCAACGACACACTCATTTTCCAAGTAGCTCAAAAATTTTTTTAAAAGGCTGACCCTGACTAGGTGGATAGAGATGCCTGAGAAGCTGTTCTTGCTGCTCACTTTTCTTCCTTGGACTCACACATCGGGTCAGTCAGGTTACAGTGTCCGGGGGTCCTTTTCCTATCCCAGCACATCACCCATTAATTTCTCCTCATATGGTATTTCCTAAATGTGGGAAAGAAAGCAACAAACAGAAAAATGCTAGCTTCTCACTAAGCCTATCTGTCATCATAGATGCTTCTGGCACTGATTTGGGTTATGCTCTGCTAGCACAGAGACTGTTTTCCAAGGTCATCTAATATTCAGCACAATGAAACAGCTTGCTGCATATGGCAGACCCTTTCTTCTGTAGCATTTGACCACGTGCCAGATTTGGGTAGCTGTATCTGGCTTCAGCCATGTAAGGAAAATTTCCCTTTACATTTTACCATTTCCCCGACCAGACACAAGAGTCTTGTGCAACTGATCAGCCAGGGTGCCTCGAGAGCCTGTCTTTAGTAAGTATGATGCTTGTGTGCACCCACACCAGTATATTAGAGCCTGAAGTCTGTAGCAGTTGCAGTAGTCCTAATACCTGAATTTCCCTTCCCTGCCGGTGTTGTCTCCCATGGAACAAGACAGGCAGGGAGGAAACTGCACCCTGGAGACCTTGTCCCACAGTTTTAGCGGATTAGTGGCTCCAGGGTTGTCCATACCACACCTTCAGCCAATACTAAATTCCTTTGCTTTTCCTCCCACCCTCTTCCCATCTAAAACTACACTTAATTTAATGCTAATTACTGCAAAAACTAAGAGGGTGTTTGTCTGTAATCCACTAAGGAGATTATCTGGTGAGATGTCTGTTATTGACAATGGAAATGCAGCGCTTAGAGGCTTCAAGAGATTTTCAGGGAGCACAACTGGAACAGTTGCTAGAAGATGGGCTGTGCCACATTATAATTGTTAGGGTTGACAACCAGCTGGTTATTCAAGTGTATGGCCTGGGCAGAACAATCTAAGCCCCACTCCAACAGTCACCTTGAGGATAAGGGAATTAACTTGCTCCAACAGCAAGTTTCCAATGAGGTGTGGAGAAGGCGGCAAACCTGCTAATTTGACTACAGAACTCATTTTATCTTGCCATGCATTGTTTAAAAATCAATGTGTGAAACTGAAGACATTATCATTAGGTATCAGAGAATGAGCACACCCATTTAGTCACTAAAATTTCTTGTAAGCATAGACTGTTCTTTACTTAATACACCCCAAGGACTTTTATTTCAGTTCTTACCAGTGTGATGTTCTACTTAACCTCAGATACAGCTATATGAATTGGTACTTTTGAAATTTTTAATCTGGGGACAATTATTTTATTAGCAATTCTTTATATCCATCCAAATCCCTGGTTTCCATTTCTAGAGTTATTGCCTGAGCCGATAAGCAGATGACCTCTCCATCTGCATTTAGGACTCATTCTTAGAAAATTTGGTGATCCATTTGATTTTCTCATCAGGCATATCTGATCATTGTCACAAGAATACTGCTGAATTTTTAAAATTGTATTCAATATGTTGTACTCGGACATTGAACCGGAGTTGAAGCCAAAAAATGCAGCACAATTGCCTCTAGATTTTGTAGCATTTCCCTCTCTTCCTCTCCAGGAACTCAGGCAGTGTAGAAAGTGACTCAGTTTAGGCTTCTTGTGATCTATGTATGCATGTGAGTTTAGTTTTCAAGCAGTCATAAGTCTTAATAAAGAATTCTCCCCAGATATTAATAGGAAAACAAAACCAGGATCTGATTCTTTGGAAAATTAGCAGAAACAACAGAACAGCACAAGGTAAGACTGCCTGGAATGGATCTAATCAGATCCCCTAGAAACTGAAATATCACTTCCTGATGTGGAAGCAATGCTGAGATGTTTGCCTTTTGTTTAAGGGATCCTCTTCACCCAGAATGAATCACTGAGGCAAGGAAGAGCCAGAAAAAGAACAGACATGTGTAGGCATCAGGCCGTTTATCAGCAAAGGGCAGTTTGTGGAGCTTAAGGATAGTGATGAAGTCAAAGTGGTTTCCCTTTCCTCAGTCATGCTTGTCGTCGTCTCTTGTCAGTGAAGCCTCATTACTATTCCACAGCAAAACGTAATGCTCAACAAGAGCAAAATGGCAATCTCAGGGAATGCCACTTACACTACAGCATGCTCCAGTGTGTTTTTTCCACTCCTTGCCATAAAGCATATTGTGCTGGAGCATCCAGCAGTACTTAGCTAATGGAGAAACATCGAATAAACCTGACTGCAATGGGGACTAGGCCAACTGAGTTTAAATAGAACAACATAAGCAAGATGAAGCGTGTGTTTTCCAGCTGCATATGCAGACAAAGAAACATCTACCTACTGCAGCTCTTCAGGGCAATTCTCAACTGAAAACCACACGCTGGAACAATAAACTCACAGAAGCCTGTTACCATCCATTGTTTCCACAAGCAGAACTCTTTTTAAGAAGCTTTTAGAGTTTAGGATTTTAGGGATTCTTTTCTTGTTTGCCAGACAAGTGGGGTTTTCTTTTTTGAAGGGGGTAAACTTCTCTGTGATGGGTTCTGTACTTGTCCCGTCAGACTCAGCCGATAAACTATTGTGGGTCAGAAATTGCTGGTCCTGACCATCATATCAAGTTGTCCTGCTACCATCCCTTTAGGAAACTTAACATACCTGTATTGGAACCTGAGCTTGACATTTCACAAGAAAGCAGCTGAGCCTCTTCAAGTGACTGGAGAAGGAACTTTAAAGAAATTAACAGAGTTACAGGAGGGCTAAGCCCATGTGAGATGAAAGTCAGAGAGGTAGCTCAGGGTTTAGTTACAGCTTCTCTGAGGCACAAAATTGTTTGGGATGGGAAACCCTGCGGAGTACGTGAGAGGCTGGACTACTAGCAGCAAAGCCTGGAACACCTCAGCCCCATGCAGGACTTCCCTAATCTTTGCAAACCTCCTGTGAGCAGTGTCAGCTGTCATTGCTGAGCATAGCTCTTCCTCATCTTTCCATCACTGTCTGGTCCCTGAAGGTGTGAGGTACTCTCAGAGGCAGCCGGTCCCTGCCACAGACTGAAATCCAGCATTTTGGTTAGCGAGCACAGCTTGTGATTACCCACCAAGAGACCTGTCCCCATTGCAGGCAGAAACTTTGGTGGGGGCTGCATATACTTGCAGCTTCCACTGAGAGGCACCTCGTGATAGAGAGCCAAGTCTCCCACAGCTGCAGCTTCTTCTGGGGACTCTGCCTAAGACCTGTGAATGACCCAGCTGGCATCTGCAGAGTCAAGTGGAAACAGCAGTTCAGACATCCATGGCTGAAGCCAAACGTGAGGGAGAAATGAGACATGACAGTTTGGGTGCTATTTCTGGGCAGCTGTCAAATCCACACCAGGATTTCAACTCATCAAGAAACAACTAATTTGGGATACAAAAAGATCCTCTGAGCATCTGAAGCTATGTTGTTTTGCACTAAATGGTCACTGGTTAAAATGTGGAAACTGCCCTGGGATAAGGACTCCACTCCATCATGCTTCCCTCCCCTAAAAGTGCCCCAAGATCTAGGTTTCGTTGCTCAGCAAGGCCTAAACCTTCCCTGTAAAGTTTTACCGTGGACAGGGGAGCAGCCGGGAAACATGGGTTTAAAGGGAAGGCCACAGCAGAAGCAGCTGAGCCTTCTGCCTTCTAGAGGACAACGCTATCAATGTGCTGCTATTTTGTGAGTGCTTTGGGTCCATGGGCATATGCTAGACATTGTCTGAGATATTTTGAAAGGCACTCAGCCTGTTAGACTGAGGTGAAAGGCTGATTAGTTGTAGATCCTAAGAGAAACCTCTTGAATGCAATGGGTACAACACTGTGCTGGATGATGCAATCGGGGCAATTCAGCCATGCACAGATGTAAAACTTGAGGCACTTAGGAATTTTTTTGAAGTGAGCCTTCCCAAAGGCACCAGGTAGTGCTCCAATCCATGAAAATCAAGATAAGCAGAGGCAACATTACATTCCACAAACAATACATGCTAATTACTTCAATTCTTGTCTTCAAACTGAGTCTCAGAGAGTTCAGCACTGAACATCTGCTGAACTACCACTTAGCAGCCTTGCTAAAAATGAGGTGGTGTCCACACGGGGCACGTACCCATCTGAGAAGTATTCCCCTTGGTGCGTCTTAGAGAATGCAAAGGGCTTTTATTGGTGCCTGAGGAGCTGAACACCCCAGAGCACTTTAAGAGCAAAGCCTTTAGAGTCCAACGGGAGTCCTTCCCGTGTTTGCATGAGTTGGCTCCTACAAGGCCTAGACAATATAGTGTAGGTGATGCTTATCAGAACTTCAGAATGAGGCCATTAGACACAAACCACCACATCTGCCCAGGCAAAGCTTGCTGGCTTTGCTAGGGCAGCTGGAAAATATACATAGAAAGAGAAGCATAGCAACATGATGATATTAGTATTTGGAGACTTCTGGAATAAACCGTTAACCCAATGCACAGGGACATCTTTTTTACCACCTCGAAAAAACTAAACTGGTAGTGTAACTGCCCAGCGCTGGCAGAGATAAAGGAGTCTGAGTACATCAGTGAGGAACATACCTCTAGCTCTACACTCCTGATCGGCTGATGCACATGGT